AAACCCTAAACCCTAACCCTAAGCCACCAGTTTTAAGAGACCCCGAGAGTTGGCAAGTCGACTCCCGTCTACATCGCGGCCCAGGGGCTCCTTCTCTTCACGGGAGCTTCTTCAAAGCCTAAAAACCCTACGTCCTAAAGCCTAAACCGGAAGCCCAAAACCCCAAGCCCTGAACCCTAAACCCTAAACCCTAAACCCTAAACCCTAAACCCTAAACCCCAAGCCCTGAACCCTAAACCTTAAGCCCCATCCTTGCAAGAAGGCTTGGCTGGAAAGCGCCAGAGCTGCCTCAAGGCTCGGTCCCACTGGCCGGGACACTGCATCGAAGCTCGGTAAGGGACCTGCGGTTTTGGGGCCATAGGGTTTCAGGGTTTAGGGTTTAGGGAGGGTTGCGGGTTGAGGGTTGTATCGTCGGGTGTTAGGGTTTAGGGTTTATGGTTGTAGGGTCTTAGGCTGATCGAATCATAGGTTGCTTTGTAAGGCGGTGCATGTTTGCGGCCCAGGCCAGTTCGAGCAACGACCGCACGTATAAAAACGAAGACCCTAGACCCTGAGCCTTACGTGGACGATGCCTATGTAAGGTACTTATAACCATGCCTCTCTACCTTCCCCGAAACTCTGACCGGAATCGAGCCCTAAACCCTAAACCCGACAGCTTCAGGCATATAAGAATCTCAGGAGTGAGCTTCGGGTTGTCGGCGACGAGGCAGCCGTGCTTGGCCACCATCCACATCGGTCGCCCCTTGACTCCAAAACTCAAAAATCAAAGCGTGGAGATGTGTAGGAGGGGTCGGTAGCCGCAGGTCATGAGATGAAGATTTTTCTCTGCAGCTGGCAGGAAGTCTTCTCATCTCTTCTCCGATTGTGCGGGAAGTGCTCTCCACCGGCTTCCTGGCGTCCTTCCTGGTTTCGGCTCCTGACTTCGTCATTTGAGAAGCCTGAACAAGTCGTACTACAACTCCAACAGAGCATTCCTGCTGCTAGATCAACATACCAAAAATGTACTTTAAACGACGTTTCAAATCATTCAGGGCCCCTAAGCCTCAAGGCATAGAGCAGCTTTGAAGCTTCGCAAGGCAGATCCGAAGACCCCTTGCAACAGTGCATTCCTCCAAAGGTCCGAGTCATCTAGGGCTTTGGGGTTCGGATGTTTCAGGGTGCAGGGTGTAGCCTGAACCTGACGGGGTTTGGAGGTTTGGGGCTGCAGGTCTGCGTTTTATTAATGACCAAAAAACCGAGCGGACAGCAACGCAAAGAGGCCGCAACTCTACAAACCCCGACGGCCATAGCTGAGCCCATGTGCATCCGAAGTACCGCATCATAGGCGGCACCCAAGGCTTCAACATAGTCGACCCTCGCGCCTCTACTGAAAAAGAGAGGCCTCAGAGCCGCCGGAAACAAATATTTTGGGGTCGGAACAATAAGAAAACTCCTTTGATAGTCCTCGTCAGGCCTTTATATAACCCCTAAAAAATATACAACACTAATTCCATTGTCAAGGAAGGCCCCAGTATGACATCAAGAAGTTGTTCGAACTACTGGCTTTGGCTTTACTGAAAAAGACGCCCCACACCTTGAGTTCTTCGGGGTTCTGGGTTTAGGTCCGTTCCTTTTGTTTGCCCCCAAAAAAGCGGAGACCCTAAACCCTAAACCCTAAACTGTAAACCCTAAACCCTAACCGTAAACCCTAAACCCTATAGCCCAGAGGCTCCGTCGGCTTCGTTGGCCCGAGCAGCAGCGGCAAGACCACCGTCCTGCGCGCTGCGGCCGCAGCGCTGTCGATGCAGGAGCAGGCCCCTGGCTGAGGGAGGACTCTTGTTTTGGGGGTTCTAGGAGTTTAGGGTTTAGGGTTTAGGTAGGGGTTCTAGGAGTATTGGAGTTGAGGGATTTGGTTTGTTGATGGGGTTTTAGGTGTGTTTGTGTGGGGGCGGGCAGGGTTTAACTATGAAGGAGGAATGATGTGGAGATGCGATGGAGGGACAAGGAGGCGTTGGGTTTCAGACACACAACGGCAACTGCCATGCAATCACAGCTTTGGTGGCTCTCAGGTCCTCATCACATGAACAGATTTCGACGATCTCTGGTAGACGGTTTAAAGATGCGAGTTGCTCAGCAGCTCCGGTTCCGATGATATGGGGGCTTTGCGGTGGCGAAAAGGAAAAGCACGTTGACTTCCCTCGCATCCTGCCTCTGCAAACTTAGAATATCGCTTACCAGGGATTCGCGCTTTGGGTGATCCGAGCTTTGCATGGCTATGGTTCTTGCCACTTCTTGCCCCAAGCTTGCAGGTCCTCGTTGTCGACTTTCGTTCTGAACTGGTGGGCGTGGCCGTCAATGCTTGCGAGATCGGCTTGGAGCATGCCGCGTGACGCGCCCAGGAACCAAGGCCAAAGAACAAAGAATGACCCTTCATTGTCTCAGGGTTTAGTTGGAAATAGTTATCCATGAGTCAGTCAGCCCATGGATGCGTAGCAGGCACTACACACCGGGATATGCCCTAAGATCCCCAGCAGAACAGCAGACCCAAATTATCAGCTCTCGAAGGCAAAGCTTCCTTGCCCACCTTAAACCCCAAAATTCTAGCGCTCTGTTCGTGCTCCAGGTACTTGGTGCCTCCACCCGGGGCCGAAGAGGAGGACGCAATCCAGCGCGCCATCGAAGACCACGCACCCGAGGCTGGGGTGAAAGCTGTACAAGTATGTACATTAGATGTATACTTCTGTGTAGAAAGATTTCTGTTGGGAGAAAACTGGCTCATCGCGACATCCTCATATCATCAACAGCAGTATGAGCATGTGCATGGTTTCCGTTCAAAAGTTCATCGTTTACTTCTTTAGGATCCCTCCGGTATCCGACAAACCACTCTCTAGAACCCATCAGAAATCGCGAAGCCCCGAAATTCGGAGGTTGCTTTTGGCCACTGTTACTGATAATATTGTCATCACGAACTGTTGTTCAAGCCGAGTTGCTGATAATATTGACAGCGCACTTCCTGCAGTTCACTCGCCGGCACATGCTCGCATCCCTGGAGCCCCACTACCATCTTTTCTCTTTTGATACTGGACTTGGCTTCCCTCAGTTGGATTCAGTTGTCTTGGGTTTGGGGTTTAAGGCATTGAGACTTGGGATACGTCCTTGTCGGTAGATTCTGGGACTTCGAAGACTGCTTGCGCGACTTTTTTCCGCTGAAATTAGGTTGAAGCGGTATACTCCTAAAAGGTCACAGGCGCAGAGAAAACCTGGACACGAAATAATTGGAGCATGCTTTTCGCTTGAATTTGCGGGACTTCGGCTTCCGCGCTACACGGCCTGGCTGCCAGCGGCCAGCCCAGGACAGCATGCTGTAGTGCATAAATGCCCAACAGAACTGTGCGTTGGTGCACATGCGAGGAGCTTGGGAGCTAAGAATCCAAAATCCAGGACAGCAGGAGGAAGTAGGAAATGGCAGTCGAAGCCTGAATGAAATCGTATGCAAGGCGCAGCTAGTAACTCCAGACAAAAGCAGAGAGGTATCCAAAGACTGGGAACTACCTTTAGAGGTGTATAGCCCTGCGCAGTCCGGGCAGGCTGCAGTTTTGTCCCTGCAGTTTACATGTCCTGCTTGCCCACAAAACCGGCCACAAGTCCCCAAGCCCGTTGAAGAGGCGATTGCTGAGCAACCAGTGCCGAGATCAAGAAAAAGCCATGCAGGGCGATCGCAGCTTCATCAAGCGACTCAATAAACCTGAAATCGGAAGCAGAGGATCTTCGATTAGTTCAGCGATTCCGGCATTCAAGAAGCCGTAACCAAACCCGTAAGCAAGCATGCAACACTGCATGAACAACTAACGTATATAGCTTGGGCGGGCGCTCTAGCGCTGCTTCCAACAGGTCGTCGTCGCCGAGTTCACGCTGCCGACCTCCGCACTGAGGGCTGCCAAGCGGTGCACCGAGGCAGCCGGGGAAGAAGGGTGAAGACCTGGCCTAAACATTGACAACAGCGCTTCATAGGTATTACATGGGGGAACCCTAAACCCTAAACCCTAAAGGGATGTTCAACGTGGGCTCTGTGTGTCTAGGATCTTTTGGAGGTATAGGGCTGTATGGGTGCGGGGCGAGAAGGCTGAGGGGCTCGGGGGTTCAGGGTTTTCGTCATGGGGGAATTGTCTGATTGCAAGGTTCTGAAACCATGGGATGAGTGTGATAGGCCCTTACTCGGGCTTGGAGTTTGTGCAAGGTGATAGATGAAAAAATATATGTATGTGTGTGTGTGTATCGATATTGTTTCGTTTTTTTGCAGATATATATATATATATAGGAAGAGCCTCGAAATGAGGAGTTTCTCCTCGATGTTCTCCGAATCCTGGTTTGGGCATGGGCGGTTTAGCGGAGCTCGGAATGTGACACGTGCAGTTGGGCTGCCGTCCGGAGGCTGGGGTCCGCCTGGTTTGCAGCCTCCGCTGCACGATGCAGGCCGTGGTGATGCTCCAATCCTTTTTACGACAGCAGATTTTGGCCGGTCTGGCTGGCCGGGCAGGGCAACACGTGACAAAAGACACCAAATGATCATTGAATCCCAGTCCCAATAGCCTGACCTGCTGCGAATCTCAGTCTTCAGCCCAAACCACCCTGAACCCTACTCCCTAAACTCCATTGAATGTTGCATGGTTGGAAACCCGATGCAGGGCTTGGCGTGCTGCCTGGACGAGGGAGCCCGCGAGGACTTTCCCTTTGCCTCCTTGACGGAGCTGTGCCCCGGGCATCTTTGAGCTCGCTGTTGCACCAAGCCGGTTTCTGGAAGTGTCTTTCTTTATGCAGAAAAAAGTGTATGCATATATACATATATATGTATATATGTATATACACACATAGACATACAGAAGTGTGCATACAGATGTACACATACATCTACATATGCATACACAAAAAGATGTACATATACGATCGAGTGTACGCATTCTGTTATTCGAACAGTCAAAAGTGGATGCACACGCGACGAAGGCCAGGATCAAAGCTTCAATTTCCTTAATTTCTTGCTATCCCCCTTGTTTACGACCGAAGAAACGGAAGACCAAGAGGTCGAGGAAGCAACTGGACAGCTGGCGCGTGTACCGGGCAGCGGCAGCCGCTGTCGCCGCGAGGGCGCCGGGGTCTTTGCCCCCAGAGTTGTACCAGCAACTTTCTACGATCAAGGCTACTAACCTTGGTTTTCAATAAGAGGTACTACAAAGAAAGCGCCGTGAGTTGGAAGCAGCTCTGAAACTAGTCCCATGCAACAAGCCCGTATGTTTTATCTTTATCTGAGAGGTGATCAGAGCATCAGCGATTCAATTTCCCATCATCCCCGAGCTAAGGGCAGAGTCCGCCTCCTGCATACCGGAGATCCTTGAAGACGTCATGACATGACTCGCCACTGCGGGACCCATCGAAGTTGTTGTTGTCAACATACTGGCATCAGCCTTGATTTAGCACGGGCTGATCCGCAGAAAATGTCCTCCGATGTCATGGCGTAGCAGCGAAGTTTTTGTGCATAGCTACCGGTCGCAGCAGGAGCCCTCCAACCCCCAAGGGCAAGCGGGCAGGCTCCGTTCGCAGACCACAGTGTTAGTTGAACCACTTCTGATTCCGTCATTGGCCACGGGCGCTGAGATCCAACTCCTACCACAAGATCATATTATACTATATGAAATTATTAGGCTTTGGGGTCCGGCGTGGTCGGG